TAAGAGATGAATTATATCCCGCACTATTTCCCTAGCTCACACTGTCAGCCATGCGGTGACTGTGGAGTCAGGATCATCAGGCCTCTATGTTCAGTGTCTGTCCCCAAATGAAATTAAACCTTCAATTTAATTTGGGCTTTACTACATGTATAACATAAAAAAGGGAGAGAGCAGTACTTAGTGTTAAGAATAGATGGGTTTCAAAGAAACTCATTTTGCCCACTCACTGTATCTCTTTAAAATTGAAGAGGTTTCTACTAGAAATCTTTGAATAGTATTGAAAACCTCGGGCACAAAAGTATTAAAATAGCAACCAGGCCCTTTGCATGTTGGATATTATTTATCTGGAAATGCTTTTACGACATTATTCTAACACTGAAATATTCTTCATCACTCATTTCCCGACCCATCTTCTGCCATTGGCATTTCTTTTGTGCCTAGCTTTTAGAACTGCTCTTTTATTTCTTAGTCTTCACATTGTCTAATTGTCAGTTATGAAGTCACAATTTTTCAGGAAACCCTACCTTCTAAAATATATATTCCAAAACAAAGATTACTAGGCGCCAGATAAATTAGCTCTGTTTACTGTAAATTTCATGAAGTTTGTTTAAAAGTAGGGATACATGTATTAATACGCAGTTAGCATTTTCTTAACTTTAGTGAGCCCATCCTATCCTGTAGGATCTTCTTAGAACTGCCATTGGAGGAGGCTTGAGGGGTGTCTTCATTCAGTGACAGAGGATAATGTTTAAATGCAAAAGCAAATGACAGACCTGTATTTGCAACCGCAGGAGCTATCTTCCAGGATTGTAATTAAATTTTCTTTATTACTTCCTTATAGAGTTCTAGACTAGGAAGATAAATTAGGATAAACACAGTAACTTTAGGACACCACACAGTTATTGGGTTGTGTTTGCAAAACTAATCAAAGTTATTCTGTTCTTCCTGAGATGTTGGTATAGTTTAAATGAAACTTGATATTTGTCTAGCACAGATATCAGTCTCTCTCCAAAATTACTCACAATAAGAGAGCAATTTTATAATCTCAATACAGGCTTGATAGTTTCATTTCAACTTGGTGACTATTTGTTGGTTACCCTCCCTGTTTCCTTGCAGTTTTTTCTCTCATCTGTAAAATTGAGAAAATAACAGAAATCTGCTTTGCAGAGAAATTTTGAGAAGTGACTATAACAGAACATTGAAATCCATGAGTGAAAGGGATGATAGAAGGACAGTGGATTATTTCATATCCCCCTCAAGCTACGCTTCCTGATTCCAGAACAGGAGTGCTGTGTTGTTCACTTTCTTATACTGTAACACAATATCCACCCATGTTCCTTCTCGTAGGAGTTTGAGTGTCATTTATTTAGATTTCAGAAGTGTGTGTTGATTGTTTCTAGACAACTCGAGAGATGATTGCTCGGTCTGCTGCTACCCTCATCACACATCCCTTCCACGGTATGTTTGCAGTTGATAACTGAAATCTGATTTCTTATCTTTCTTTTATGACTTGATCTCTCCTGACCACTTAGATAGGTTGATGTGGAAGTTGACTAAAGTGCTTTGTCTGCATGCTTTTTGTTTGTTTTATTGTTTTGGCTTTTATTGAATAGATTTGATCAAATCTTTTTTGGTCAAGACTATCAAAATCTATCTCAACATAGTGTGGTTTTTTGGTTTGTTTGTTTGTTTGTTTGAGACAGGGTCTTGCTCTGTTGCCAGGGCTAGAGTGCAGTAGCATCATTACAGCTCATTGCAGCTCCAAACTACTGGGCTCAAGTGATCCTCCTGCCTCAGCCTCTCAAGTAGCTGGGACTACAGGCAAATGCCACCACTCCCGGCTAAGTTTATTTTATTTTTTGTAGATACAGGGTCTTGCTGTTGCCCAGGCTGGGCTCAATCTCATGGGCTTAAGCAATCGTCCTCCCTCAGCCTCCCAAAGTGCTAGGATTACAGTGATGAACCATCATGCCTGGCCTCAACATAGTTCTAAAAGTTTTTTCTCTGTGTTCCACAGTAATCACTCTGAGATCTATGGTACAATTCATTGGCAGAGAATCTAAGTACTGGTAAGTGTTTTTGTTTTTGTTTCCAAGTACTTAAGATCTGTTGAAGTCAAAGTATTAGAGTAATACAACTTTATATTTTTATGATACTTTAGAGTTTATAGAACGTGTATATAAATTCATAATCTTTTATCATTTAATCTACACAAAAATCAATAACATGGGAGAAGACAGACCTAGGCAGGTTTAGTAGCCTACCCAGGATCTCAGAGTAAGTTGCAGAGACCCTGAAGCCAAATTCACCCTGACTCCATATTGCGACATCCTTCACTTCTAACTCCAAGTTTAACTATCTTTGCTGAAAGAGAGGGTGCTAGAAGAGTGTGAGGGAAGGGGGTTATAAATTTGACCTTGTCCAAAGTGGTAATTGAAATTCTTCTGTTTATAGCTGCAAAATAATCTTAATGTATTTTACCTTCCCTTCTTGTGTACCTAGTGGACTTTGTGACTCCGTAGTAACTATCTATCGGGAAGAGGGCATCCTAGGATTTTTCGCGTGAGTAAATGTTGATTTGTGTGTAAGGGATATTTGTGTGAGTAGAAAACTTTCCTGAAAATAAGGACAGCAAATCTTTGTTTCATCCCTGAGGAAAATGTACTCCCTGGGTTTGTTTCTTGTTAAGCTCTATTTAGGCTTAAAACATTTGAAATGAGGAATTTGATTTTTTAACAGATACATTAATTCTAAATTTCTACCCTTGTAGTAAGCTCCCAATTATACACAGTTAATTAAATGAGGAAAATTAATTTTTGAAAAATAATAAAACCATTTTTTTTTTTTTTTTTAAAGAGACAAAGTTTTACTTTCTCCCTCTAGGCTGGAGTGCAGTGGCATGATCATAGCTGACTACAGCCTTGAACTCCTGGGCTCAAGCTATCTTCCTGCCTCAGCATCCTGCCTAGTCCTAGCTATTTGGCTAGTACCTGCCTAGTAGCCGAGAAGCTAGGACTATAGGTGTGTATCACAATGCCTGGCTTATTTATTTATTTATTTATTTTGGTAGATAGGGAGTACCTATGTTGCTGAGGCTGGTCTCAGACTCCTGGCTTCAAGCAGCTGCTGCCTCTGCCTCCCAAAGTACTGGGATTACAGGCATAAGCCACCACACCTAGCCAGGAAAATCATCTTAACATGTATTTTCCTTATCCTGAGAGAATAAGTTTTTTTTGTTTTTTTTTTTTTTCTTTTTTGGGACAGAGTCTCGCTTTGTTGCCCGGGCTAGAGTGCCGTGGCGTCTTCCTAGCTCACAGCAACTTCAAACTCCTGGGCTCAAGCGATCCTCCTGCCTCAGCCTCCCGAGTAGCTGGGACTACAGGCATGCGCCACCATGCCCGGCTAATTTTTTCAATATTTTTTTAGTTGTCCAATTAATTCTTTCTAATTTTAGTAGAGACGAGGTCTCACTCTTGCTCAGGCTGGTTTCGAACTCCTGAGCTCAAACAATCCGCCCGCCTTGCCTCCTAGAGAGCTAGGATTACAGGCATGAGCCACCGCGCCCGGCCACTTCTTTGTTGATAACTAGTTTTAGAGGACACGATGAAGCAGAAGGACAGCTTTATGGTATATCTGAGGCTTTTCTTCTGATCTGGAGTGTTAAGGGGACTCCCAAATTGGGCTTTCTAGAAACTTCAGCCTGAGAGGTTTTGAGAATCCACCTTATCTAGAAGTTGTCTCTCCTGTCTTAGCAGTTGTGGGGCGTCTTTGTACGTAGCTCCATAGCCTGGTGAAAAATTGAACACACCAGGAGGTATGTGACTGAATCCATCTCAATCTTGAGTACGGAGGTGAATTTTTTCCGAAGCATCTGGTACAAAGCTACTGTATACAGAAGTAGTGACTTGTCCCTTAGATATATTGTAAATATAGTTTTCCAGAAAACTTACCAATCTCATTTTCTTTTGTTTTTGAAATCCTGAGGCCATTCCATTTGTTCCTCATATTAGACTTGTCTAATATGAATTTTCTATTAATGTTGAATCAGGTTGATCATTTTGATCACTGCCTTTTCATTCTCATAATCAGTATTTTTTACAATTTTATCCTGAGTTAATTTTCAAGCTGTCAAAGAAACTGATAATTTACAGATAGAATATATTGATGTAGTTGTAGACAATTAACTTAAGGCTCTTTTCCTGTTTTAGGTTTCTACCATGAATGAAATGAAGAGTTATTCCCAAGCTGTCACAGGAGTGAGTTTTTTTAATACTTTTAACCTCCTAGGAACAGTTGTGTCTTGTTTTGTTGTTCTTTCAAATCTGGCCTGTGTCATCACTGCTTTAAGAGAACCAGATATCTCACTGGGAAATCTCCCTCAAATTTGTTAATGTTTGTCAAAGGTAAGAAGGATGCAGAGTTCCTGCCTCAAAACAGCAGTAATAACAGCCCCTGTGGTTTGGTGCTAGTCAGCTTTTAAAGGGGTGTACTTTTTTCATGAATAACATAGTTCAGTTTGATTTGACTGAAGACTCGGTCACAACGCAAGAGAAGTGTTTAGGCCCTTTGTTACAATGTTGGGTGTAGTGGTATGTTAGGAGGAAGAAGCATTTCTAAGCTCAAAAATGTGTAACTTAGTCTTTCCAGGGGTACTGAGAAAGCAAGACCAGTGTTGGATTATTTGACCACAATGGCACTAGGCCTTTAAGGGGAAGGAAAGAAGAGAATAAAGAAGACTAGGAATGACCTAACAACTTAGCTATCTTTTTACCATTTTACAGTTTTTTGCCAGTATGTTGACCTATCCCTTTGTGCTTGTGTCTAATCTTATGGCTGTCAACAACTGTGGGTAAGTAAGTACTTTGCATTTCTTATCCTAGGTGTTGGCTGCCTGTATATCTGGCAGGCAGAGCAGTCCTGGTGGAAATTTGGGAAAGAAAGATACAATAGATACTATTGTTAGGTTCCTAAAGACTGAGTGAGTGATAGGCCATGGCTGTAATCCCAGCACCTTGGGAGGCTGAGATGGGAGGATTGCTTGAAGCCAGGACTTTGAGACCAGCCTGGGCAACATAGTGAGATCTTGTCTCTGCAAAAATAGATTCCTAATTTTTTTCTCCCCATGTAGCAGCAGCCTCAATGTTTATTTATATGCATCTACCTCATATTCTTTTTTGGAATAGAGAAGAGCATAAATAACATTTCTCAAGTAGGTATAATTAATATGCACTTGCCACTAGTATAGGTCCTATCCTCTAAAAGGTGAGATATCCCATACATTCATACAAAAAAAAAAATGAAAATAATAAAAAATAATAAAGCTGCTTTAAAAGGGATAAGATAATTATCAAATTTTTCTATTTCCACATCTTTAAGTCTTTATCCTCTTTTCTACGAAACCGATAAAAGGTATGTTCTGGATTAAATGACAACCTGTCCCTGTTTTTCCTAGGGGCTTCATGGAGAAAGTAAGTTTTAAAGAGAGAGAAATAGGAAATTTAGTTTATGGAAAGTTTCTGTCAACACCATTGACACTGTTATGTGTTTAATTATTTGTCACCATGGTGTTGACAGCTTTCCCTGAATTGATTGGGGAGGGCCGGTAGTGCTGTGGTGGTAGACACCATTGATCTCCAACTTCTTTTTTTATTTATTTTTTACACTTTTTAAATTTTTTTAAAAAATAGAGACGGGATCTCGCTTTTGCTCAGATTGGTCTCGAACCCCTGAGCTCAGGCGATCCTCCTGCCTCGGCCTCCCAGAGTGCTAGGATTACAGGCGTGAGCCACTGCACCCGGCCTGATCTCCAACTTCTAGATGCCAGGTGATGCTGCTGAGTTGGGCAGAAGTTTTGCCTTTTGATTTAATTCAAAATTTTTCTTCCTGTGGTACCTGATATGATACATTAAATAGACATGTTGGTGCTGTGTAGAGTTTTCAACATGTTGCATTCTGTTTTCTGATTTGTAGAGCAGCTGCTGTGTTTTAGCCCAGAGCATCCTTGAAGGATAAGTTAAATGTCTTATATTCCTTACAGTTTTTTCAAAAGGAAGTGATTATGGGTTATACCGGAATAGGAGCATGTAGTCATCACTGTTCATATCCATTGTCACATTTACGTTCTTTGTGGATACCAATTAGTTTCTAAATCCCTTTTCCCTGCTCTTTAATCGTATACTTGATACCTAGAATTTCATTTGTTCACAAATGAAAAACCTAAATGTTTTAGAAAATAAGATTGAACTTTATTCGTTGATTGAAACCTAAATACAGGGGAGGAAATCCCTTCTGGATACTTGATTTTTCCCTTGCTCCCATTTAATTTGTTTCATTAAAACTAAAATTGCCTCTGTGGGGAGCCTTCTACATGGGAGGCTATTTTGATGAAGGTTTATCAAACTCTTGAGAGAATGTTTTATAAATAATTAGCATGAATAGCTAATCTTTTCTATTTCAGGCTTGCTGGTGGGTGTCCTCCTTATGCCCCAATATATACTTCCTGGCTAGATTGCTGGTGCAGCCTACAAAAGGAGGTATTTCTTTCTCTCTCTCGTTCTATTTGGTTTTGGTTGTTTTCTTAAATGTCTCTGGAATCCCACGTTAACTCTTATAAAATGTGATCCTTAGAAATCATCGGCAGGGGTGATGAAGAAGTGAGAATCCCTCAGTGTAATGGTCTAGAAGCCATTTTTGTGATCATATTCGAGTTACAAATAGGGTCCGGGTAGATAATTACCCTGGTTGTTAAAATCATGGCCTTGATTTCAGACTCTTTTTTTCCCAAACTCACCTATTTTAACCTCAGAATCTCCTTGTATATTCAAGTGTTTCCCCAAAGTACAAATGAGGAAGTTGAAAAATGAGAAATTATTTATTTATGACAAATTATTTATCACAGTGGTGTTGACAGTGCTGGTCTCGTACATCTAGAGGCGTCTTAGTGGATGATTTTGTCCAAACTGCAGCTTGTTTGTTGCAGCTTGTATGGTTTCTTATTGCTGTGAGGGGTATAACCTGCAGCCAGAAATTCTTGATCTAGGCAGAGCTTTATTAGAAAATAAAATAATGGCCAGGTGCAATGGCATGCACCATTAGTCCCAACTACTTGGGAGGCTGAGGCAGGAAGATCACTTGAGCCCAGGAATTTGAGGCCAGCCTGGGCAACATAGCGAGCCTCATATCTTACCCACGTCCCAAAGAAAAAGGATGGGCTGTGGGCTAAATTTAGCACAAGATGGCTTAAAATGGCCATCAGTTTAAAGCTGTTTTTGAGTGGGAACCACTTTTTAAAGGATTGCAGAAGAAAGTATATAAAGAAGCTCTTTGTTGTGTTATTTTATAGCAATAGTGATACATATGAGAAAGGCCTTTGTTCACAGAGCTCAGACTCCCCCAGTCTGAACTCAGAATGAAAAGATCTAAGTGTCACTTGTCACTTGCACAGCATGCATGCCCAACAAGCCCCTCTGCAAATCCAAGCTAGAACACTTGAAAGATTTAATTTCGGTACAGACCTGCCATGAACATTCCGGGTTTCATTCTGAGTTTTACACTCTTTATTGAACATCCTCCTAATGTGATCCCTGTTTAAAAGGAAAGATAGCCTTTCCTTCTCTACTTCCTAACTAACCCCCTGTTATAGGAAGAAAGCAAACAGAAAATGAGTTAGGGTGTTAAACATACCTTTCCTATGGAATAGTTGATCCTGTAGGTGCTTAAGACAACAGCAAATCTTGATGGGGCATTTGCTATATACCAGACATGGTATTAAGAGATTTCCATGTGTCAGCTCATATAATTCTCAAAATAACTAAATAAGGATAGGTACTATTCTTTATCATCCCATTTCACATACAAAGAAACTGGGGCTTAGAGCAGTTTAGTGCCAGTTATGTAACCCAGGGTCGCACAGGCTATATTTGGGATAGCTGAGACTGATACTTCAGAGTATATTCAATTATTACTTTAATTGTAAGATTTTGTAGGTACTCCTTGGAAATCTGATCATTTCATTAAACAATAAATAAAAGCTAGCACTTAGGGAATGTTAGGCACTGTTCTAAGTACCTTATATATATTGACTCATTGGATAACCCAGCTAGAAAGTAGCAAAGCCAGATTCCAAACTGGGCATTCTATCTGTCTGAATAAATAAGAAATTCCTGCCTTATCATTGAGAAGAAGTTGTAGTTGTTTAGTTCCGCAGTAGCTCAGCCTGTCAGAGAATACACCCTATTCTGTAGGGATCATCCCAGTTTTGTCCTGGTCATTTACACATGTCTCCCAGAAACATGCCCAATTGGATCTTTCTCTGATTTGGATTGGCTGACCTCATTTTCACGCTAGACTTTATTTGTGTTTATTTTTCTTTCCAGGGAAATATGAGCCGAGGAAATAGCTTGTTTTTCCGGAAGGTCCCCTTTGGGAAGACTTACTCTTGTGACCTGAGAATGTTAATTTGAAGATGTGGGGCAGGGACAGTGACATTTCTATAGTCCCAGAGGCACAGAATTATGGGAGAGAATGTTGATTTCTATACAGTGTGGCGCGCTTTTTTAATAATCATTTAATCTTGGGAAAATGGAGGTATTTGGTGTCTGCCTTTTTTGTTCCTTTTTCAGCACAACATAATTTACCACTGCTGTTTCCCCTTTAGTTATTCTGAAATGGGACGATTTTCCTACAGATTCTTTACTTAAAAAGAAGACAGTTGTATTTTCCTAAAGGTAGAGACAGGATGTCATGTGATTCGAGCTCAGCTTAAGGCTTTGTAAAATAAAGAGTAGAATCCCAAGAAGAAGGAAATAATTTTGTAAAACTTGAGAAAATTAATAAGGCAAACTATATGGGAGGTTATGAATGACCTTTTCTTGAGTAGACGCCAGAAATTCAGCAGCATCCACCAGAGTCTGCCTCCCATTATATGTTTCTAAGCACATTTGATTAATCTTGTCTCTCATGCTTCAAAAAAAGGACAATATGTTGCCACATTACCCTAGAAAATCTCTATGAGAGATCCACACCTTCAGTCTATTACTGCAAAGTAATCGAGTGTCACCAGCAACAGAGAAAAAGGACAATGGTAGAAAATAAGGAAGAATTGGAAAGGAAATGTATAATGGCTTGTTTTTTCCCCAGAAGAAGTTCTTGTTTTCACCTAAAATGTAAGAAGCAACTACTGCAGCAGTAGTCTCCTTCTCGAAGAGCTTAGGCCTTCACCAATCTCTAAATTACATCATTATACAGTTCTAATTGTATATAACCTTTTGTTCTTCAGTTTTTCATTTTTTTTTTACCTTTTTGTTATTGTTGCAGAAGGTGAGTAGTTTGTTTTTCATTCCTGATGACAACCTTGGAAAATGTATTTATAACTCCATATCTGATAATGTGGACTTCAGTCCAGAGGGGTCTTAGGGTATCGACCACCTCGCATGTCATACTGTCAGTTGGGCATGTTAACAAACATTTATAGGAAGAAAAAAATCACTTCAGAAGGAAATAAAATTCAATTCAAACAAAGCTCCTATTTACTCAGGCCTTTTAAAAGCAGGTTAAAATGCTCTAAAATGAGAAAGCCTATGGTTTCACTTGCTTAAATAACTCACTGGGATGTTGCCAAATGAATAAGCACTTAATTTGCTGCTTCTGAGACTTCTCTGTCAAAGCAGCAGCACCTATAATATTAGAATGAGCATGCAGGGTTCTCCACCCTCTCCCAGGGTTTGGGAATACCACCTGAAGCTCATGAGTAGCTTAGCTTAAACTGTCTTTGATGTCTCTTGTCTTAAAAAGTAATGTAAATTTTATATACTATTCGATATTATCTGCATTTGTTTTAATATAAAAATGTTTTTGCATTGCCTACTTTTGCTCCCAAAAAATCTTCAAGTAAAGATGATCTAGGAAAACATGCCAAGTTTATCCTGTGGCTTCTGTGCACATAACGCGTGCCTGTTCCCAGTTGAGAAGCATGTCTGACTGTGATAACCAGTCTACCATCAGAGGGCGCCAAGGCTTCAGTTTTGCCAGTGGAAGTTGGGCTGCTGAAAAATTTCACCAAAGCCTGGGATTGCTCAAAAGTACTAGTTCAGCTGTTTCGGTCTTGCTGCAGCCAACTTACAGGTCCAAGCAGGGGTCCTATACCTGTGGTTCTCCATAAAATTTTATTATAAACTTTTAACATAAAAATCTGAAGTTTATTCAGGGGCTAGTAAATGCAGGTAGGTACTCTTAACACATGAACTACGTTGTGAGTTGAATTTAACTCACGCCAATTTTGAGCCCAGGCTTCCTTAAGTAGATGTAACTTACATGTCTCTTCACCTTGGGAGCCGCAAGATCTATTTTTCAAGTTGCATATAACTCATGCAAAGAAAACAATAAAAAATCAGAGATTTTTCGTTGCATTAGTAAGGGTGGTTTTGTTTTCAAAATTTTTATTCTATTTTCATAATAAAACACCGTGGGCCCAAGGAAAAAATTTTCTTTTCTAGTGAGTCAGTCAGTGTGTTAAGAAACACATGCAAGAAATAGTGAACTGACTCAGTCAATAATATAAACTTAGGTAACGGGTATCCAGTAAGCTGCACCTGTGAAACTAGGAAAATGCTTTTTGCCTTCCTTGGTGGTACCAAGCTAAGTTGCAGGGAAATAACTCCCCTAGGTAGTGTGATGACCATTGAAACCTTGATTAAGAAGAAAAGAACGTGGAGTTTCCTGAAACTTTTAGGGTGATTGTTAAAATGCCTGGGTAATAGCCAGGCATGGTGGCGCATGCCTGTAGTCCCAGCTACTTGGGAGGCTGAGGCAGGAGGATCGCTTGAGCCCAGGAGTTTGAGGTGGCTATGAGCTAGGCTGATGCCACAGCACTCTAGCCCGGGCAAGAGAGTGAGACTGTCTCAAAAAAAAATGGGTAAAAAAGCAACCTTAGGATGAAAGAAGCTTGAAACATAGGCCCTATCATCCATCTTCTCACTGTTTCTAAACATACCTTGGCTTTGCTGTCATTTCCTATTCTATGAGTGTCCTCCTTTCCGTCTTCCCATTGAAATTTTTCCTATACTATAAGATTCAGCTCTATCTAACACCATCTTTTTGTGAAGTCACTCATAGCCCTCCCAACTGGGGGAGGGCTTTGCCTTCAGTCTCTCCCTCCCCCCATAGCATGTTAGTTATAGTACAGACTCAACTGACAAACTACATCCAACACCAAGGTCAGGCTTTACACAGCAGTGGCATTACCTCTCTCTGATTTGAAAATCTGTGGAAAAAGAGAAGTGTGTGTGTGTGTGTGTGTATATGTATATATGTTTAGCCCTTTAAAACAGGCCCAGTAGGGCAAGGCAGTGCCTCCAGTCTAATCCCAGCACTTTGGTAGGCCCAGGCAGGAGGATGGCTTGAAGCCAGGAGTTTGAGACCAGCCTGGGCAACATAGTGAGACCTCTTCTCTATGAAAAAAAATTGTTTTAATTATCCAGGCATGGTGGCATGCACCTGTAGTCCCAGCTACTCAAGAGGCTGACGCAGGAAGATCACTGGAGTCCAGGAGTTTGAGGCTGCAGTGAGCTATGATTGTACCACTGTGCTTCAGCCTAGGTGACAGAGTGAGACTCTGTCTTAAAAAATAATAAAAATCAGCTGGCCAAATAGTAGTAAATGAAGGTGGTTGGCCAGGTGGCTCACGCCTGTAATCTTAGCACTTTGGGAAGCCGAGGTGGGAGAATCATTTGAGTCCAGGAGTCCAAGGCCAGCCTGAGCAACATAGCAAGACCTTGTCTCTACCTTGTCTTTAAAAAGTTTTTTAAAAAGTTAGCTGGGTGTTGTGCTCACCTGTAGTCCCAGCTACTCGGGAGGCTGAACCAGAATTGTACCTACTCTGGCTTCCTATCCGGTCTGGGGTCCTGCCCTCCTGGCATCACAGAGACTGTTGAGAGTGTCCTTTGGCTGGAAACAAAAGAGGAGGGTAAAATCAGAAACAGCAGAACCCCCTTTCATTTCAGACTGCTCCCCTCCCGCTGGGATTCAGTGTCTCATGCCTTTCTTCCCCCACCCCTGAGGGGCCCGAGGCAGGAGCATCACTTGAGCCCAGGAGTTCAAGGCTGTAGTGAGCTATGATTGTGCCACTGCACTCCAGCCTGGGTGACAAAGAGTGAGACCCTGTTTCTAAAAAATATGGTGGTCAGTTTAAGGTTCTGTAGCAAATGAGGGAGCAAGAAGCAGAAATGACTGCTGTGCTTGTCGTGGAAGTTCTAACTTGCATAATTTTTGGTAGAGTAAGCATCCCCATTTTAGAAATGAGACTGAGATTAAGTAACTCAGAATCATATAGCCAATAAATTTCAGGGCTAGATCAAAACCCAGGTCTGTCAAAGTCCAAGGCATTTTTATTGCTTCATGGAGGCTATCAAATGCTAAGAAAAAAGTAGCCAACAAACCAAATGGTATGTAATTTTCCATCCGAGGAAAAGGGCCCTGCATTTGTAGTCAAAGCAGTGAATCAAAAACTGGGCTCCCAACAGAGTAGAATTGCTTTCAATCAGGAAAGACGTAGCTCGTGCCTCTGCAGAATGAGAAACAGGTGAAGCGGCTGAAAAGAGAGATGATCACCATTGCTTTCCTAGACTATTATGATGGTTATATAGATGAAAAGCTAACTTGCCATGTGACAGATTTCTTCCTAGAAGGACCATTAGTTCAATGTATTTGGACTCCTAATACATTTGGAGGGTAGCGTTTCTTAAAAGTGATCAGTGTGTCGGCACCTCTAACGGGTTCGTCTAAAACATCTTTGCAGATCGTATGGGTTCATTAAAACTGCCTCCCAAAGTGCCCTGGTAGTTTCTATTTTGGCATTTTTTGTTTTTTTTTTTTTGAGACAGTCTCACTCTTTTTTGCCCGGGTTAGAGTGAGTGCCGTGGCATCAGCCTAGCTCACAGCAACCTCAAACTCCTGGGCTCAAGCAATCCTTCTGCCTCAGCCTCCCGAGTAGCTGGGACTACAGGCATGTGCCACCATGCCCGGCTTATTTTTTCTATATATTTTTAGTTGTCCGATTAATTTCTTCCTATTTTTAGTAGAGACAGGGTCTCGCTCTTGCTCAGGCTGGTTTCGAACTCCTGAGCTCAAACAATCCGCCCGCCTTGGCCTCCCAGAGTGCTAGGATTACAGGCATGAGCCACTGCGCCCGGCCCTTGTTTTTTAAATATAGGTGAAGATATGTGTTTTATCTCCTTTTCAGAGGTGTTGGGCTTACCTAAAGTCACATGTGACATCTCATTTTCTCTTTTCCCCTTCTATTGATCCCTCATCTTATTTTCTCTTTAGACTTGAAGAGAGTCAGAATCTTTATCTCTGACTTTTGTCCTGGAGGGAAAGTTGCAAGTGAGAGGTTCTCTTGCCACCAACCAAAATATAGGAATGTCTTAGATGGACACAGGGATTGATTTTCTAAAGCAAGTAGGAGTGTTTTCCTTCCAACCGACTCTGTCCATGTGACAGCTTTATCATCCATTTGCTGCCTAGAGACATGTCTTGGGGAGGCCCCCCCCAGCAGTGCTTGAATTAATTCCCTCCACACACACCGTTCTGTCTACCATCATCCCATGGCCACGAGACGGAACTGAGAAGAGCTGGTTATGCCTTGGTCTCATGAGTGGATTCCTCTGTAGTCTGGGCACCAAATCTCTTGTCTGGGACCGATTAGGCAGATTTTGTATTAAAACCACAATTGTTCTGGAACCAACTTACTGCAACCCAGAAGAAGAATGTCTTCAAGTAGATGCTGATCAGTACCACACACCAAAATATGGCTAGAGGACGGCGCTTGAGAGCACAGAAGCAGAAACGGGAGAGGAACAACACCAGTGTGACCTGGAGGTGCCATTTGGGACTCACCAGCTTCCTGAGAGGCAGCAAATAGGGAAAAAAACCTTGCCTAAGTCTCCAAGGTGACACGTGGGTAAGAAA